ATGCGGGACTCGATCCTGGGACTCCAGGATCATGACCTGAGCCGAAGGCAGTTGCTTAACCAACTGAGCCACCCAGGCGCCCAGGAAATATCTTCTTATAAAACTTTTTCAAACACACACCATGTGGTAGGCTGAAAAATGCCTCCACCAACCCCTTTTGCCCCACCAAAGGTCCATGTCCTCATCCCCTAGAACCTGGGAGTGTTACCCTAAGCGGCAAAAGGGACTTTTTGCAGGTGTGATTAAGGTAGGACCATGAGAAAAGGAGATTAGGATTCTAAATGTAATCACAAGTGTCCTTATAAGAGGGAGGCAGAGGGAGGTTTAACTACAGAAGACAGGACCGTGACCTGAGCACAGAGGTAGTGAAGATGGAGTAAGGTCCACAAGGCAAAGAATGTGCATGTGTCTAGAAGCTGAGAAAAGGCCAGGAAACAGACTCCCCCCTGGAGCCTTCAGAAGAAATGAGCCTTGGCAGACACCAACTTTAGCCTGGAGAAACTGATTTCAGACTTCTGGCCTTCAGAGCTGTAAGAGAAATTTGTGTTGTTTTCGGCCACTAAGCTTGTCATGGTTTGTCACAGCAGCCATGGGAAACGAATACATACTACATACGCCAAAGTAGAAAAAGAGAGTAATGGATCCAGGGTTGTATTCGGACTTACGTAGGCCCTAAGAATTTTTGTCCAATAAGAGTCATACCAAAGTTATACTCATGAGCTTCCACAAAATAGTAAAAGTTATATTTTATGACCATTTGGTACAAAGATGAATATATTCCAGGCTGGAGTAGTCACTATATTCATTTTTTTTTTCTGACTGATTGTAAAAGACATTAAAACATATTGCAAGAAACTCGTTTCTCCAAAAAGTTTCACGGGCCCTGGGCTGTTTGTGGCACGTGGTGGAGAAGTCAGCCCCAGATGAGCCACAGTGCCTGACACATGGCCAGACGTGCTGACGGAAACCCCTTTTCCATCCCGGATTCTCCCCTCGGAAATCACAGACATGCTCACACGCCATCTCCACACTCCCCACAAGTGGGGCCTGGGCTTCAAGGACTCTTTTTCCTCAACTGAATCTATAATATCTTTTTTTTTTTTT